AAATTCATCTTGTTCCTCCGATGAATGAAGATTTGGATTATTATATACTTCATCTTCGTCTATAGAAACAAAGGTAAAAAACGTTAATTTATTATCTAAAAAGGAGCTCAATAGATAATTTGCTTACCTTTTATTATTGACATTGTGTTAGCACTATTTTTTTTATTATCATCATTTTTATTAACTGTGATTATTAAAATTAAAATTATTAAATGAATCAAATTTAATAAAAGCGTTATTTTATTATTAAATTGAATTAGAATTAATTTATTGAATTTTTACTTGCCATTCTTTGAACTAATCTGCAATTTTTTTAAATACTTTGGATGATTTTTTGTTTCAAATTTAACTTACGTACAGTATTTTCATTTGAATTGGTCTTTTAAAAGGTATTTCTATAATTCTAATAATGATTATTATAATATTTTTACAATGACTAGGTGACTTATATGTTTACTGGAATCCTGAACATTTAACGATCGTAAAGAAAGAGTCCAGACAATATTTACCTATCTAAACAACATCGATTACACTAAACCATACATGAATTATTACCCTTTTTAGTTTTGTTAATGAAATATTCACTAAACGGTAAATCTATATAATCACAAAATTTATATCTCAATCATTCTTTTCCCTAGAGAAAGAAGTTAGATTTTGCACTCATGTAAGTTGATTGGAAGTGTGAATAAGTAAAAAATGACTATGAATTAAAAAAATGACTACGAATTTTTTAACATTGGATGGAATCTTTTTATAGGTACTGTTAGAGTATGATAAAATTGTGTTATAATCAAATAAATTTTATGTATGATTGTCAATGGGCACTTTATTATAATCTATAGAACAAAAAAAAAAAAAATTAAAAAAAATTTTATTTATTCCCAAATTCAAATATAGATAAAACCATTAGATAACCAACATTATATAACAATAATAATAAAAAAAAATTTTATTATATATATATTACATATAAATATTAATATTAATATATATGTATTATATGTATCAAGAATTTATTGTAATTACGGAAAAGAAGGGGTTGTTGGTTTTTTATTAGACGTTTGAAAGTGATATTCTTTGATTCGCTGCATATTTTTATTGGTTAAATTGATTTACATCATGTTTCATTGAAGTACAGTAATTTTAGTGATATCTACGCAGTAATATAAGTTTTTACTATGAAGTTACTATTTTTATGATGCGATGCGTAAAATACAATTTAGTAATATTGAATAATCATTATAATTATTATTATTAAATAATTTACGTGTAATCACGCAATTAAAAAGATTATCTTAAAAGAATCTTTTTTTGATGATAAAACCGCCTCTCTAAGTGCCTGCCTAAATTTAGATATCGATAAAAAATTTTTGATTATTGTTAGTGAAAAATTGTGGAAATAATTATAATTTCTTCGTCCTATACTAAAAAGTGTTAACGTTCTTTTTGAAATGGTAAAGTTCTTTTGAAATAATAATTAATGCCCATTATTATTAAACGAAGCATTCGGAGCGATTCCGAGTATACTTATGGGTACCATTTTAAGGATACCATATAAAGGGTCCCATATATAAGGGGTATGATGTAAAATTTGACCAAAATTATTCATTTATCTTCCAGTATCTGCCAGTATCTGCCAGTATTTGCCAGAAATTAAGGGGGTTGGTCTTTCACTAAAGAGTCTAAAAGATGTACTCCTAATAATCTCCTAATAATCTCCTAATAATATTACGATACTCTTCCCCCAATTCTTAATACTTTACGCCACTTGTGCAAACATTAATCCCTATCCTAATTCTTACTCCTGTTACTCTCCGTTGTTAATAATTTTTTATTAATTACTAAACCGATGATAACATTAAATTAGTATAATTAGCTAAAATAGATAAATTAAACTATTGAATTAATAGTAATAATTCCGATATAAAATAAGTAAGGTTACATATAATGAAATGATTCACGACATGATGTGAAAATCTTAAACGTTAATTTATTAATTTTATTATTACTATTATTACTTCTATGTCAAGTTCGGTCCGACGTGTCGGTCAATGGTCATCAACTCATCACCTCATCAGTTGTTCAATCAAGTTCATATATTATACGTCACGGGAAGATGATGAATGAACATCTGATCCACAAAATTGATGACCGATTTCCAAAACCGATTTTTTTTTTTTTTTTGAAACTTCTTAACCGAAAAAATTTTTTTTTTTTTTTTTTTTTAAAAGCGTGAAAAATTTTTACAGAGGAAAAATATTTTAGGAAAATTATTCTGTAAGTTATTCCGTAAACCATTTTCATTCTTTTTCTTTTAATAATAAAAAATTTGGCTAATTAAAAATTAAATGTACTTTTCCTCTTTCAGTATAAAAATAATTCCAAAATTAGTTTCATTGTTATTTTTTCAAAATTATTATGCATATCAAAGGTTATACGGTAGAACTTTTGGTGAACGGAAGACCATTGAAAGAATATGCTATTCCTATTACAGATTTAGAGGTATGATATTATTATATATATATATATTTTTTTTTATTTGTTTAATGATATTAATGACCGACATTATTTTTTTTTTAATTGATTTTTCTTTTTATTATTGATCATTAAAAAGGTCTCAACGACTGGAAAATCATTCGTCTATAATGATTTCCGTGAACAAGAATTTTTGTATGTATCAACATTTATATATATATATATACATATATTTTTTTTTTAAAAAAAAAAATTTTTAAAAAAATTCACACGTATATAAAATTCTTTTTATAAATAGATCATTTTCACATTTCGCTCTTGCGCCTCTACAATCTAATTACGTCATCAAAGTATCATCTGATAATGCTTCAAAAATATCTCCCATGTTGGCCTTCATTTATGTTGATGGATGTTATGATTCTACTTCATTAAGATTGGTTAATGATTCCCCCGTATTTAAAAATGGGTTTAAAGATATCAATCGTCAACATAAACATTATTTCGAATTTAATAAATCTACTTTTGTAAGAAAGGATAATGTCAGATTACCTAAAATGCAATATGGTGGATTAGGTTCTGTATCTGTTTATTTTTATAAAGCTAGAGTTCTTGCTTCACATATTGGTATTATAGAAAGAAATAAATCCTTAAAATTTGGTAATGATCAAAAATTACCTAATATACGTTATTATAATGATATTAAAGTAATGACACATTATAGTTCTGGTGTAACTTTTGATCAACCAAAAAATTTATTAAAAACTATAAAACCACTCACAAAGTTTGGTAATAATCCGGTAGCCGTTTTACACCTTCATTATCGTCCTTACGAATGGTTTATTGAAAAAAATATTTATAGTAATCTTTCAAGTAAAAGGAAGGGAAAGATGGTTGCCATTAAAATAGAATCTGATTCAAGTATTAAGAGTCATGATGATTCAGTAAAGATAAAAGAGGAAAAGGACAAGGAGATCAAGAATGATTCAGTATTAATCAAAGAAGAAAACAAATCAATTGCGTCAAGAGTCAAAAAGAATGGGAAAGAAATTAAGAGTCATGATGATTCAGTAAAGATAAAAAAAGAAAAGAACAAGGAGATCAAGGGTGATTCAGTATTAATCAAAGAAGAAAACAAAAATGATGATGATTCTTCAATTGCGTCAAGAGTCAAAGAGAATAAAATGAAGAATATTAAAAAAGAAATTAAGAGTCGTGATGATCCAGTGAACAAAAAGGAAAAGGACAAGGAGATCAAGGATGATTTAGTATTAATCAAAGAAGAAACCAAAAATGATGATTCTCCAATTTCGTCAAGGGTCAAAAAGAATGAAATGAAGAATATTAATAGTCGTGATGATTCAGTGATCGATAAGGAAAAGGACAAGGAGATCAAGGATGATTCGATCTTAATCAAAGAAGAAACCAAAAATGATGATGATTCTCCAATTTCGTCAAGGGTCAAAAAGAATGAAATGAAGAATATTAATAGTCGGGATGATTCAGTGATCAATAAGGAAAAGGACAAGGAGATCAAGGATGATTTAGTATTAATCAAAGAAGAAAACAAAAATGATAATGATTCTTCAATTGCTTCAAGGGTCAAAAAGAATAAAATGAAGAATATTAAGAAAGAAATTAGGAGTCGTGATGATTCAGTGACCAATAAGGAAAAGGACAAGGAGATCAAGGATGATTTAGTATTAATCAAAGAAGAAACCAAAAATGATGATGATTCTCCAATTTCGTCAAGGGTCAAAAAGAATAAAATGAATATTACGAAAAAAATTAATAGTCGTGATGATCCAGTGATCAAAAAGGAACGGGAGATCAAGAATGATTCAGTAAATAAAAATGCCGGTGATTCGTCAATTGCGTCAAGGGTCATGATAAATTTAAATGATGATGATTCGCCAATTTCATCGAGAGTCAAGAAAAGAAGGATGATAATCAATGATTATTCATCGTCAAGGATCAAAAAAGAACAGGTAGAAAGTGATGATGAATCGTCAATTTCGTCAATAGAATGGATTGCGCCAATTTCGGCAAGGATCAAGAAAGAACAAGTAGAGATTATAAGTGATGATGATTCTCCAATTTCGGCAAGAATCAAGAACGAACAAGTAGAGATTATAAGTGATGATGATTCTCCAATTTCGGCAAGAATCAAGAAAGAACAAGTAGAGATTATAAG